TGATACTCTTATTGAAACTTGTGAGAGTGTAATTAATTCTGACCTCATTTACGATCGACGGCTTTTCCAGGGAAGTAAGTATACAGAAAATGTAAATAACTGGTGCGAGTCTCGGCCTGTTTATTGTCTGGGATGGTTCCGACCGAAAAAAAAAACGGACCTTCCTTAATTCCCTAAAGGCCATTGTTTATAAAGATGTATTGTTTTACAGATTTCAATTCGGAAAAGATTTTTTAAAAAGTCTATTGACATTTAAGAAAACGTTTCCTGTTCTTTGAGATAATATTAATCATATCTACAATAAAGCCGAGCATTTCAATATGTCGTTATGTAGTTGTTTGATTGGCATTATAATGAATATTGTAATTATTTCGGTTTAAATACCGCTGTATCATTTCAAACCATAAATTCAGCTCCCTGACCTCCCTCTCCAGAAAAACGAGCTCTTTTAATTGTCCCCGATAACTGAATCCACTCAAGTCACTTTTTTAAGAGTGCAAATGCGCAAAGCTTTCTGAAAGAAAAATACTGAAATGAATTAACTTACTTGTAAATCTCGACATTTTTCTCTAAGTCAAGACGGACCTAATTGTTTGACATCCTTAATGGTGTTGAAGTTATCATCTTGTTGCAATGTTTCGCCAGGAATTCTATTTGAAAGAGAATTTTTTTTGATCAGTAAAGAAGTAATATTGGTGTGACGAACTAGCCATATGATTGAATAAATCTGACAAAATGTTCATTATTATTGTAGGCTAAAAACAGAGAAAAACTCTAAGTACACAAAACTGGAGCTTCAGACCCAAAGAATGGTTACTTTATTTTGCTTAAACGTTCCCGGACTTTTTGACAATATTGGCGGATCGACAAAATACAAAACGTTTCAGAGAGAACTCTGCCCGTAAGCATATAACATTACGGAAAAATCAGTAACATGGTTAGGCCCACGCCTTTTATGCTTGCAATTGATTTGTCGCATGCTTGTATTATATTTCATCATTTACTGACATCAGAAAGGTGCAACATCGATCAGCAATAATTTATGACTTCTTGAGTGTGCAAGGACGAGCAGTTGAGCATAATGAACGGAAGTGTTTAAACTTCGATGTCCCAAGAAATGAAAATAAAAACCAGGGGAATAAGATTGCCAATTAAAAATGGGATATGTTGATTAGAATGGTATCAAAAAGGACTGATTGAAACGCAAATAAACGGACGGATTGGAAGCTACAGGCTCAAACGATAAAATGGTGGTGAGGACCTGCACAATATTCTTGCTAATCAATCACGTGAAATAACCAGAAATGGTTCCTTTCGAAAAGTATCTCAAGCATATTCCAAATGAAAAAAAAATCTAACAACGGTTTAGACAACATACCAAGCATAGCTCATTTCACTAAAATCGAATATGACAAACAACGTTAACGGCACCATACCAAGCACACAAATCAAGGCCTTGCCAATTATTTTCCTACGAGCATGAAGCTTGCCTTTCAGCAAATTCGTTAAAAATTTGTCTTAACTACATGTATGCCCAAGCACGAGCAATGCTGCTGACGAAAAAATGTGCTCGTTTACAAACTGTATCAGCGTGAAAACGTAAGAAACGCTGCCAATAAGCACACCCTCAAAGCTCCCCAACACAGATGTTTCCCTCCTGTTTTAGAATGTTTATCAAAACATGTACTGAAACATAGGGTTTGTGCTTGTATAACGGATAGTGACTCGAAGCGACTTGTTCACTTTCAATAATTGTAGGTCACGCAAGCAAAAACAAAAGATACAGCTTTTGGCTTACTTCTAGCCACAAGACTGTGAGACTCGTCTTATCACAAGCAATCGTCTACCTCATTTGACATTGCATGTTGATGCATGAAGATGAATGAATTTCTTCGAGCAAACCACCGGGCATCTAGCGCTAATTCGGCGCCTAGATCACAAAAACCCGAACTTCACGAAAAGTCGCATTGATCACAGGTGGCAACGCAGACAGTCGCAGACAATCAATAAAGTGTAGCTTTATTCTCCTGAAACTTGACCATGCTGCCTTGTGCATGCATCGCAGGATGTCTGCGATCTCTGCTTTGTGAGACAAAAGCGATGCGTTCATAGATTAAGGTCGAAATATTGGCGATTGCCCTAATTGCCCAAAAGCGGGTAGCAAACCAGTCAAGAAACATGAACCGTAAACTGCTAGGAAAACAAACACAAATTGGCCCCATATTCTACATGATCTTTGTTCAGATTTTTTGGACGGGCACACTTACGAAAGATATGACCTAATTCTCTTTCTGGGGACCATTCAATTGACTGCCATTGCGGACTGCTTTGACCAACTGGACAAAAGGTTGCTGTTTGTTTGTTTACAGAACTATTGATTTAATATCGAAACATCAATAGTAGCCTCGTTTACATGTGCGCTCAAAACGCTAAATTGTGCCAGTAAAATGCAAGCTCGTACAAAGGAAGTGCTACAAAAATCCACATCGGTTTCCCTCCAAAATCAAGACCAACACGTCAAAGTGTTTGACAAATTCTTAAAAGTAATTATGCCATCAAACGAGTCAAATGTCCAATGTGCCACTATATTCTGAACATCGTGATTAAAAAGATAAGTGACGGTCCCATGCAAATGCATGGACTCCTTGCTCGTTAATACCAGCTGGACTCAGCACAAGTCTCGTTAGCTTGGACTTGGCCGCTCTTGACCGTTGGCCGTGAGCGTTAATCACTCTGCTTTACCTTAGATCAAAGGATTTTACCGCAAATAATATCTCTGAAAAACGGCACCAACAAATTTATTGATTCTGAAAAACGGCACCAACAAATTTATTGATTCTGAAAAACGGCACCAACAAATTTATTGATTCGGTACTCCCTGTTGAAAATTTAGAAAGGAGGCAATCTCCTATTAAGCGAATGTACCGCACTTTATTTCAACACGCACACAATGGGACGAACCAGAATAAAGCAGTTTTCATCTTCGTATCTGCAGCGCAACAACTTTATTACTCACTAAACTGTCACGCTTCGACAAACTTAAAATCATAAATTCTTATATTTGTAATTCTTACCTTTTACCCCGACAAATGATAATTACGTTTGATTTATAAAAGTTATCAAAGATCAGTAGCGAAACATTTATCCGTATACAAAGAAAGTTCTTGAAGTGAGGAGCGATGAATCTCAAAAAGAATCGATCCTTAGGAACAGTACCGGTACACCTCGTCAGCGGGTGATTTCTTCGGAGAAATACTGTACAAAAATTTGAAACAAGCACGGGTGTTTTGGATTCGATGGAAGTGCTTTTGGTACGGACAGCTGAAAGGCTCGACATTGCTTGGAGTATACGAATTTAGCTTCTATTGCGTCTACCAATTAGGACAAAGTGAATATCACCTTACCCGCAGTAATCGAATAAGCCCGGCGTTAACGTCTGCCTGAGAACACTCGATCCGTTTTCACGGACGTGTGACTTTAACGAGCTCACCGACACCCCGATGAAATATTAAGCAAAGAAATCGACTTGCCATCACTTCGACGACATGGCGTTTCGATGAAATAAATATTTTGGTTTAAGAGTTCATAGTAAATGGTCAGGTAAAGCAAGGTCCATACGGTAAACGGGGGCTGTAAGCCCCGTCCCCTAATGTCACTACATGTCGTATATAGTTATTCCATCATGGGATTCGTGCAAAATGCATAAGGTCGTATCGTAGTTCATCCTCTCTGCGATCAGTTGTTTATCTCTTAATTCTGGCACGTGTTGGGCTAAATATTAATTGTGTAATAAATGGTTAACACTTTCAGGCAAACTAGTCCGTGATTTAATCACAGTGCTGTCTAGAAGCTGGAATCGATTGCTGTGAAGCTGCCTCCGCTATATCAATGTGTAACATCAACTCAAAGATATCGGATTTTACTCCACAGCACTTCAAACAGTATATTTGCGCAATATTTAAGGGTTTAGAAGGAAAGCTGTGGGAATTGTCAAAAACTGCTGACAAATAGACCCCATGATAATGAATTTATCAACCAGGTATATCGCGTTAAAATGAGCAGAACACTCAGGGTATGGTATCAAAATGGTCTAATGATTTAGACATTGGTAAACAAGGTGATACATATAAGCGTTGGACAGCTTGGTTTGCGTTAGTAATTTTTCATGGACCAAGCTTCGTCTCGACTTGTGGACTGGTGCACTCTGTTCGATCCAAGCGCGCGTCTCTGCTGCAGATTTATCATTCTGAGCATGGTAAAGTGAAGCGCAGTGTAACACAACGTTAGTTAAGTGTATCAGCGCCGATCCATCTTTCAGGGCACGTGCGTCTGTTGCAAACCAATCCTCAGCTTGCACTGATGCATAATTACCCTTTAATGACTTCCTTCAGCGTCGATGTTTACCGGTTTGCATAGCAGCTGTGATTACATAAACTTTGCGGGTTTTCATTTAAAAAATAAAAAACAAATATCAGTTGAAAACCGGCCTGGGCATGCTCTGAACGTGAGAAAACAGTTAAGAAAAAGTGACCAAAAGAGCAATGGAAACTTACTAAAAAAATCAAGCATGTAATTAAAGAGTTATTTGACACTGCATTGCGATCTTATCCTGAATGCAAAAACATGCCTTCAGAAGACAACTACCTTTTTCACATCCTGTAAAGGGAGTCACGAAGTACATGTGTAAATGTAAGAAAGAAATTTCATAAAGTATAAGGTGTCTAAGTGAAAAACAAGACATCCTTTCGAGCAGTGAACGAAACGCCACTTGAACTTTGACAGCATTTTTCTCAAGTATGTCAAGTCATGAAAAAATCCTACGCAATTATCACACCTTATCTTAGATCAGTATCCGAGGCACAAGACAAGTCAGGCACAAGAGCAGCAAATCTCGTTTGCCTTTCATTTGTTGCTTATCGTGCACTAGTGCCCCCGTTTCAATCCGTAAATCTGGAGTAGAGCGCGACAGGTGATTTAAAAGACGAAAAGGGTTCACTTACGTTTATTGGAGAGCAATCGTGGAAATGAGTGTAGTGCGTCTCCAGACTGAGCACACAGGTACACTGGAGCCTGAGCCTGGGAGGTGCACTGGGGAAGAGGGGCGTAAAAAGGCAAGGCGAGTCAAAAGTCAGAGCCGTGAGCGTTAATCGCGCTGCAGTCCCCGCTGGCCCTGGATGCCCAGCGAGCGGCAGTTGATCAAATACAGCTCCGCGACAAATGAACTCATAAGCAGCGAATGGGAGGACGATTGCGCCGGTGCAGCCGGCTCACGCCGTCACGGACGGTACTCTGCCGATGGTCGGCTGGAGTCCTTCCTGAGATGATTGACAAGATCTTGCGGTGTCTCGGCGGCCAATCTCTGAGTGACTTTAATTAAAAAGAGGTAAAAAATGACAGGCGGGATATTGAGGATGGGATGACAGACCTGAAGGGTGCTAATGACAGCTTCCCTGGTAGCTAAACACAGTGTGTACGCTGAAGACAAATCGAGATGCCTATCACTAATTGTAGCCAGAAACCGCTATCTATTATTTGTCTACGGAGGAATAGTCCCGTGATGCACCGTACAGGTGTGCTCTAACTGCAAGAGAAGACCGTCCTCGCCTCGCGTTTTTGGTATTTGTAAAGATCTCAACACACTGTGTTGAACAGTTATTGCCGCGAAATCAGTCCAAGTTATATATTGACTCGAGAGATTCTAATGCTAATAACATGCCGCTAACCGATTTGAGACATTTCAGAAAGTTTCAAGTGGCCCTTCCTGCCCAGCCCAATCGATGTATTGACTGCATTGGGGAATATTTGTCGACACTGGAGATGGTTTGTGGAGATGAGAACGCATCTGCGCGTGCGCTGATGATGCACCCAATACCTTCTCTTGCGTAGGTGGTGGCTCACAACAGTATCGGTCGAAAGGTATCGCAGACAAATGCGTGCATCGCCCCTTCGTTCGCCTTCAGGGCCTAAATAAAAGGTATTTTTTTCCTTTGATTTCAAAACATATTATAAAAAGTAGTGATATAATGTAATATGAATTCTTCATATACAGTAGGCTGAAATGAGATTATCACAATTCAAAGCTGATTTTTCTTTTAAAACCAGACGTTTGGATCGTTTACTGAACAACAAGGGATAAAAACTGGGGTACGAGTCAACATGAGTTTCCAAGATATAGGACTACGGCTTCTGCAAGCCCAAGTTATGAAACGCCGATGATGCGTGTTTAGGATTGGAGTATGACCATACAGGGGTGGCTGGGGGGGGAGCAACGGCATCCACGACACCCCCAAAAGCAGCAGCAACGTTTTCAGAAAAACAATGATAGAAAGGCCATTTTTTGCTCGTTTTTCTTTCTGTTCCTTGCGATGCGTGTTAAAAGCGCCAAAACGTCAACAGTGAGAAAGGCCTTACAAGCTTAAATAAAAAAGAAAAATCCGCAAATTTTGCCCCCTCCCCAAAAATAGTTCCCCCCAAAAGAAATAGTTCTGAATCCACCCTTCGCCTGGTTTGTCACCTGTGATCTTCAAACATTAATACTTTATTGAGAAACTATTCAGCCTTTTAGGAATTAAATTACAGTTCAAATAACAAATTTCTACAATGAACAGCGTTATACGCGGAATCACAGATCTACAAGTAAGGATCAATATAAACAGACGGGTGCTTAAGTAGAAGCCTAAAGTGGAAGTTTCAGAGTGTTCTTCGGGACTCCCGATGAGTATTTGTTCTTGCTACTCGTATTCCGAATTGGCTCCGGGTAGAAATTTATTTCCGCGTACTTTACCAGAGCTCAGATTCGTATTCTGGTTAGCGAAGTATCAAAGCCTCTGTATTGAGAACAGATGACGTTGATGCTGCTGCTCGTTATGAGCATGCGCACTGTGCTTCGAGCTGTCACAGTACTCAGACGCAGTGGCAAAGAGGAAGGGGTAACAGTAGGCCTACCTGAACTTTAACTCATAAATAATCAGATGACTGCCTTTCTGTTCACTACAAAGGAAAAAACGTAACTTCTACCGAGAGCCAGCCTAAAATTCATCGTAATTAAATGTTCAAAATCTAATCTAAACTTTGCTTTAAACGTACTTTTCATTGAAAATAATTGCTCAATACTTTGCTTGAAGACACATCAGAGTCAGACATTGCAACTGTATTTTTACACTATACAATCAAGGACCGAATAGACTTTAAGTCTACGGTCTGTGATACATGGATAATAATCGGAAAACGCGCGTATTACTTGTATAATACGCTTTGAGGAATCTGGACTTTGATACTGCAGACTGATCATTGAAAGACAAAGCTGCCGTCTGGTCTGAGCTCAGGAAACCTGGACGGGAATGCTGCCTATAAAGACAAGTTAAGTAGCGTTAACCGTACAAACGTGCTTTCATGTTGCCGACCCAGATGGGTAAAACGTATTGAAATTCAATAATTTAATTTTAGACCGCAATGATTGTCATGTGATCTTCACAGTCCTTTATACAAATGCTAACACTTTACTGGGTTAAGTTGTTTCCAAAATTGTTAGAAATCGGTGAAATACCCTCCACTTGGTTACTGGTCAAATTCATCCAAAAAAACCAAAAGACGAGGCGCTGTAGGCCTACACATCGGGTCATTATCACCAAGTTACAATTATACCAGTCTTAGCGAGACGGACACGGCTTGGACAAAATACTCAGGTGTTATACCCATCCCCAAACGGACTTAATAGTGGCACATCTCCAACAGGAAAGGGCAAATGGTGCCACTGCATCAATTTGCCATTCCTCCATCGATCGATTGCGCGGCCAATTAGATCTTCAATGTCCCATTTCAGATAGCAGGTTTTGCACCTGCTGAACACGTTTCCAGTCTCTGTCGAATCCGTCTGGTATCGGGCACAATCCAGCGCTGAGTGTTCTGCTTGGGTGCTCAAGGATTTTGAAAGCAGCTTTTGGTTCTGTACGCTCAATCCTTCCATGGTCTTCCTCGCTACTGTGATGTGTGGCTTTTGGGAAAACAAGCAGCCTCAGGCACAGTTTGGGAAAGAACCTGTCTTATTACGGTTTCGAAGGACGTTTAAATCGCAAATACATCCTTCCAACCGTAAAACATGGACGCGGTCAATTTATTTTAAGGAACTGAGAGTGTTAATGGCAGCAATTAGTAACGGTACCTCCACCCTTTTTGGCGTGGGAAGGAGATAATGAGGCTTTTTTTTTAACCCCCCCCCCAAAAAAAATCCATTTTGTCTCAACCTGGACACTAGACACGCCAATGGAGAATAAGTCCTTCATTTTTTTCCCCAGGCACGTTACCCTCTTGCTACTCAGGTCAACCCTCTACAGCCCATGCTGTGAAACCAATCTTACTGAATACTGACTTTATGAATCTTTTTTTATAAAGCCCAAGCTGTTAACCATCTAAATTACCTCGACAACAGCACACACATGTATATTGTAAGGTTCAGTGCTTTAAGGTGTGGTTCAATCTGGAAGGCATTTTACAAACCATTCCATTTTATGACAGACTTTTTGCGATGGACAGTGATTTCAGTAGTTTGTCCACCGTGACTTCTTCTTCCTTCAATTTTTTGTAAAAAAAGAAACAATCTTCTATTGTAGGTTTGCATTGGAGACGCCTGAGTACTAAGCATTACCTAAAGATGATGTTACCAAATTACAGTCAACACTATGGAGAAAAATCAATCGGTTTATGTCAACGTGATCTTTCCAATGAGATGACACTGTTGAAAATTAATATAAAACAGGACCTTTAGTAATTCTTTATTCCTCTTGTCCATATCTTCGTCAGTGAAGTGCAATGCATTGATCTGAATAAATGAATACCATGCTCTTCCTAATACTTGCCTAGCGAATTCCCTGGGCCTTGTATTTTGGAATTGTTTGAGCAATGTCGGCCTTTTTATTATTTCACATCTGGTATTACCATATCAAAACACAATTGTCACCTTCCTCATATTTGCACATTTTTCGATATACTGCGAAGCCAAAGCCACTGCTTCCCGCAGCACGTGACATCTGCATGACTAATACCAGTTACCAAAAGCATACAATGAAAAATCCACTTGATCCCCGTCGAATTACTGATTCACATAAGCTCTGGCGCGTCTTACCCATATTTGAGCAAACATCGTAGTCTCAAGCCTACCCCGTCCAAAGTCTACACCGTCAGCCTCATGATATTTTCCAAGGAGCCGAAAACTGTTGACAATTTAGATCACAGCTGAAAGAAGTAGCAGCAGGGGCCTATCTAGTAAAATTTAAAACGGGCGGCACTGCAGCAGCACCATTGTGTACGTTGGATACGTATCGATTTATTATCGTATGCTAGAATTGGTTCAGTCCTCGGGTATAGGCTTCGTTGTATTATATGTCTACGGTTGGCAGTCGGTTATTAATAAGAAAAGCGGGATCTCTAATATCTTGCATTATTAAAATAATTAATCTTGATCCAAAAAATATTGCAATTCGAAATAAACTTGCAGGGTTAGTTCATATGGTACATTCCATGATATGACATTTTCAAATTCGTCAGCAAATCCCTCAAGCGACATAATAAAAACATACAACACTCCTCTTTCATATATGAAGAGAAAACCAACAGATTTAACTAAGGTATACGTTGGATCAAAAGACTTAAATCTTCGCTTTTTTCCGAGAAGCTTTTGAAGCAAGTTATGGAGACGCATTTCCCCAACTTGTCCTATCCGACCAGATCTTGGGGGGGGGGCGAGTACAACCTTGAACGTATGCATTCATTATCATCAGTGGATTAATTATCATATATTAAATATACCCAACTAGTCACTCACACAAGCAAGCAGGGCCTACAGCCCTGTTGGTTAGAATCCAACTTAAAAGGAGGACTTAATTGTCAGTTTAAAATGCCCCACGAGGGCTGCAATTGCATCATTGCGATCCTTCTTATGGCTTCGAAGCGCCTCATGGTCATTTACCACCTAACAGGTAGGAACGACAAGACCGACCGGCTCTTATGAGAAAGTCAACGGTATTATCTCGCTGCCTTCTTGCCAAACCGAGTGGAGAATTTTCAGGTAACTGCAATAAAACTTGGCCACAGGCGACGTGCATCGATGAGCATCAAGGAAATATTTACCAGTCAAAAAAAAAAAAAACCCAATACAACAGCCATCTTATGGGTTGTTTCTCCCAAGCGCAGAAGAGTCAGCACTGATTGTCAGGGTTACGGCTTGTAACAGCCAAGGGGGAAATATGCACAATCCATCAAATCTCACCTTGCGCCTTGAAAACACGAAGTCACTTAAAGAAATTGGTTGTAGCTTCAATAAAGTTCACCAGATGTCAATCGATTTTTTCCAGTGCGGTGTTTTTTCAGTC